CGTAGAGCTTGGACGGGAACGGGAAGGGCAGCGGGAACCTGTTGCTGTCGCTGCGCTGGCTGTGCGTGGCCAGGGAGTGGCGCAGGGAGCCCCTGCCGATGCCCAGGCAGCCGTCGGTGACCAGGACAACCTGCAGGGACACCGAGACACTCCAGCTGTGCACCCAACACCCACGCGCTGCAGGAGCCTTCCCGCAGCAAGGGCTCCCACCGGGTTCCTCCGCAGAGCTGGGCAAAGAACTGCTGGCAGAACTTCCAGACAGAACCCCACATCAAGGAGAAATTACAGACTGAACCCTCGTGGTTTACACGGTGTGCATGGTAAATAAAGGTTTTCTTGGCATTAGGTAATACACTGAATTTTTACCTTTAATTTATTCATTAATTTTTAATGAATCTCATAAATTTAATTTTTAAGTGTACTAGAAGCACAGTGACTACACAGCCTCTTGCTGTTGGACTCAAGGATTCCAGGCTTATTTTCAGATGGATGATAAAGCCCATTTCTTCTGCAGAATCTGGAGAGCAGCTCAACTTCCACTACAAGCCATAGAAACCTCAAAAAAAAGTAGTATTAGTGATCTTAATTCTTTGCAAATACAGCTGCATTATGCTCACATTTTGCAGCAGAACTCCTATAGCAAAACCTCACACTTTTCCATTCAATTGCACATTCAGTCAATCCCTGTGGAAACCTGCACTAATTACACTGAATAATGGGAATATTTACGCTCAGCTGTGACCCAGTCACATCCAGAGGAGTGAAAGAACTGCTCCTCCAATGCTGCATGGCAACAGCAGGCGTGATTTCTGGCTGCTAGGTAAGGAAAATCAAATTCAGTTGAAACTCCATGTGTAATTGCTACATCCAGATTTGTTTTGTACTCTCCCTTCATCCTCAGTCTCTCCTCAGAACTGGTGCTCTCCAGAGATGTTTTCCACTGCTCCAAGGCTGCACAGTACATTCCTCAGTGCCCTCCACCACCCCAGCACCTGAGGTGCCAGTAAAATGAGCTATGACACAAATGAGAGACAAAAGAGTTGAGGTCTAATCTCTGCTTGGTTTTCACATCTTTCTTGCTGTTTGCTTTGAACATTTTTGCTGCCCCAAGGTGCCTTTTGTCAGTGTTGGATGATGAAGCACTGCCTAACCAATAAACCTCCATCCTTCTTCTCCTTAAGGAATATTGCTTCAGGCATCTCCCCAGCTCACTGAGCTGCAAAATTACTGAACTTAAATCAAGACCCTCAGAAAGCAGAGGGTTAAAGCAAACTCTGCCAGAAGAGGCAGCAGATTTGGAAGGATGAGAGCTTGCAGGGCTGAATGGGGTATGTGAGCAGCTGCATGGCAAATGACTCATTTGGGAGAGAAGTCAGATCAAAACACACTCAGCAGCAGCCCCACGCTGTTGGTTGAGAGCTGGGATTGCTACAAGCCCTGGAAAACATCAAGGGCTGGAGGGGAGAGGCTCCTGGTGTGGGACTACACCCTTTCCAAATGGAGTGAGGCTCCTGGGACAGCAGACTGCATCCAGGTCAGACACCAGGCCTGCACAGCAGTGCTCCTGAGCCACACTTTACAATCCACTGCACTACAAGAACACACTGGGCAGGAAACAGTCTTTTTTTTTTTTTGCTGCTGAATATTTTTATAAAGATCACCTTCTGTTCATGGTGCAGGTTTAGCCAAAATACTAATTCTTTGTGGTTTTGCACAAAGCATGCCTGAGAGCATTCCAAACTTTGAAATGACATTTACATTTCTATGTGCAACTCACAGGAACAGAATCAATCACAGACCCACTGGATGGTTTGGGTTGGAAGGGGTCTTTAACATCACCAAGTTCCAATCTCCCTGCCAGGGATAACTAAACATGCAGTGAACTTAAACCAGCCATACCTGGCAAGGAATTGCTGCTCCCCACTCCTGCTGGACAATGTTGCAAACCCCCAGCAGTGCCGACTCCAAGCAGGTTTTGTCATAATCATCCATGTTACTCAGGGCTTCCTGCAAAGACAAACACCACAGTCACTGCTGGGGGAGTATCCCAGCCAGGAGACACCCAGCAGTCACTCCTGGCCTTCAGGGAACTGGAATATTATCAGGGAACTGGAATATTATCAACACAGCTCTTTAAGAGTTAAAAAACACCTGTGCACGTCTTAAAAAATAAAAACCTGAGGCAACATCTAATGGGAAATATTTAGTTGAGAAAATCCTCACAGGTGTCAGAGCAGAGACCACAGGGAGTTTGTTTCACAAAAACTTTTGGGCAGAGAGAGAGAGAAACAAACCCAAAACTCACATCTGCAGCCACAAACCAGCTTTTGTCCTGGAAGTGAAAACCTCACACTTACCACAGCATCACCAGGGTGCAGCTGTGAGATGAACTTGCTAAAGAAGCCTGGCTGGGCTCCTGCCTTGCAAAATTCCTCAAATGAACTCTCAGGGAAGTGAGAATTAATCAGAGAGGATGCACTGGCACTTGCCTGCTGAACTGCAAACGTAACAGAACAGCTTTTAAAATCTCTTTGCCCAATGGACAAACCCAAACCAGGGTGCCCTGTGACAGCAGTGTGTAATTTCCTCCTGCCTTGAGGGTCAGATATAAATGTACAACCTTTACTGGATTCAGAGGCTCCGGTGCCTTACTGCATTCATGTGGAATTTCCCCCTTGGACTTCCACCTTTCCATTTCCTTCTCCCAACTTCCCACCACATCTGTGAGGCCTAAAATCACTTATTCTCACTCTTGCACTGGTTTGACTTCTACACACTCTCAACAGCAGCTTTTCTCCTCCAAACCACTGACTCAAAGCCTTTCTAAGTGGTCCTGTCAGCTGCACTGTTTATCAAGAGCAAACCAACAACTACACACAAAAACAGGAACATCTCAGACCCACGTGGGGAGCTTCATCAGGCAGCCCTTCCCTCCACCCCGTTTTTAACTCCATCCCATTTTAGAGTCAAGCAGCCACACCCCAGTGCCAAGGTGCAGCTGGCAAATTCACTGTTTCAAATACACTGATTTCACCTGCCCTTAAAATGAGCACAAACCCACTCAATTCAAGACGTGTGCACAGGATGATATCAAAATCACACAACTTCACCCTGTTTTGGTGGCACAATAGGCCGATTTTTAAAAAATGTTGCCGGTTTACTGCTTCAGCGTCCACACCCCCTACCTGGAGCGTGTTGTAGTCTCTTGTGAAAGGCACCATGAGCTCCCAGAGGGATGAGAACACCACCAGGGCCGTGAACTCCAGCTTGTAGTTGGTGGCCATGTGCTCGAAGAGCATGGTGAGCCCGTGGGCAGCCAGGTGCTTGCGCTGGTACTCCTCGGAGCCCTCCACCGCCACGGGCCGCGTCATGGACAGCGACACGTCCACCACCACCACCGTGGGCATGGCGAGCGGCTCCTCCGCCGCCCTCACGGGCGCGCTCGGCTGCCTGCAGCGGGAGGGAAGGCACAAATCACCAAAACTGCACCTCAAATCATCACCGAACCCGCACCTCAAATCATCACCGAGCCGCCCCCTCACGCCGAGCCCGAGAGAAGCGATATTTACCCTTTTCCCCCCCAAAACGCGGGGCTGAGCACAGGTTAGGTGAACACACGCCGAGCCCCACACGGCATTTCCAGCCGGGGCGCAGCGCAGGGCCTGGAGGCGGCAGGAGCCGAGCCTCGCTGGGCAGAGCGCGCAGCCCCGCCGCTCCGAGGGCGCTGGGGCAGGGATCCAGCCCTCCCTAGCAGGCTTCGCCCTCAGCGGGGCTGTCCCCGGAGCGCTGCCGGGCCGGGCCGGGCCGGGCGGCGGCGGGCACGGAGCGCGGCGGCGGAAGGGAAAGGCTGCAGCACGCCGCGGCCCGCCGCGCCGCCATGCGTGCCGCACGGAAAGCGCTCCCCCGGAAGGCGCCCGTGAGGGCTGGCCCCGCGCGGGCAGCCGGGGTTTGGGATGGCCGGGCTGGTGGTGCCCGCGTGAAATACCAGCACAAATGACCGCCATGTGTGGAGAAGGGTTTGTGGATAAGCGTGCCGGATGGGCAGTGCGCCTCCTTCTCCCGCTTCTGTGCGTGGAGGGAGCGTGAGGCAATAAACTGCAGTGCAAAACTGGGATGTGCTCCTGAAGTTGTGTGTTCAGACAACGGTTTGCTTTAAAATTATCAGAGACCCACAGGATAGTTTAGCTGGGAAACCCTTCTAAGATCATCAAGTCCCATTATTGCCCCAGCACTGCCAAGGCCACCATATGCCACAGGTGCCACATCCACCCAGCCCTAAATCCCTGCAGGGATGGAGGGGCCCAGGGCAGCCTGCTCCAGTGCTGAACAAGCCTTTCAGCAGGACACTTTCCCAATATCCAACCTAAATCTCCCCTGGCCCGGCCTGAGGCCGTTCCCTCTCCTCCTGTCCCTGTTCCCTGGAGCAGAGCCTGAATCCCCCGGCTGTCCCCTCGTGTCAGGAGCTGCGCAGAGCCACAAGGGCCCCCTGAGCCTCCTCTGCTCCAGGCTGAGCCCCCTCAGCCGCTCCAGCCCCTTCCCCAGCTCCATTCCCTTCCCTGGACGTGCTCCAGCACCTCGATGTCCTTCTCGCCATCAGGGACCCAAAATCAAATCATACATTTCCAATTCCCCTGCAATAAATCTGGTGATTAGATTGCTGTGGCTGTTAAATCCTTGGCCAGGGATGTTTTTATTTCTTTCTCTGTGGAGCTGCACTGTACCCACATAGAAGAGCCATGGGCACCATCCCCAGGTCCCTGCTCCCTCCCTCTGCTTCAGTGCTCCTGGCACAGGCCCTGAGGGATTTTTCCAGGAATCAACGAGTTTTAAACCTCCCTCTGGCATTGCAAAGTGGTAAAGACTGTGGCAAAGACCAGCAGAGCTGCTTGTCTGGCATCTGGCCTGTCAGCCACAGGAGATGCCTCAAATGCAGCTGCATGTTCCATGTTTTAAAGTGTTTATAAATGTGATTTACCCGCTGCCAGGGCCGTGAGGGTGATCCATGTCCATGGCTGGTGCTTCAGTGCAGGAGTTTGTGAAGGGGATAATCACTGTCCTCACACTGAGAATAACCTGTGGTAGCAGACAAAGGTATTGGCTTCAGAGATAGACCCAAATCTATACAATACTATTTAATCTGCTTAGGGGCTGTGGGTATTAAACTGGATTGGGAATTCCTCCATTAACATGTCCTTCACACCTGACCCGCTCTTGTTCCAGGACTCTGCCAGCAGAGGGGACATCCTGAAAATGGGATCATTTTCACCTGCCTCTCTCTGCAACAGCATCTCCCATCTGGCTGTCAAGTACCAAAGAAGCTTCCAGCACTACACCCAGCCCCTGGCACTCCCCTTCCTCCTGGGCAGACCTTTGGAAGGTAGGCTGGGGAGGTTTGTGTGATTGCTTGGATTTGTGTTACTGAGACAGGGGGTGAGAAAAGGAGTTCATCAGGAACTGACCTAAGCTTAAAGAAACAATTCTTCTGCATTCTTCTGCTCAGGAGTTGTGAAAGGCTGCAGAGCTGTTAGAACTCATCCTAGCTTTGGATTTCTTTCTGCTCACAAAGGGTCTTTTAAGCAGCTCATTTTGGAGAGAAGTAAAATCAGTATTTAAATGGGAGTGTGTGCATAACTGTGTTCCCTTTGTGCCATCCTTTTAAATCTCCTGTCTTTGTTAGGGAAAGTTATTTTCTCTTAATGTGCAATTTGTTATACCTCTTGTGCTGTTCTGCCACTTGTATGTTTTTTGGGGTTTTTTTGTATGAAAAGCAAAGTTTGTATCATCTATTTATCTATGCACTCCCATGACCCTCTCTTACTGTTGCCTTAGTGATCCTCCCAACTATTTAAATTAACATTGCCTGTTTTGCAAGGAATTTAGGCTGATAACTTCCCTGGCTGTTATGCAAGAGGGTAAATGTGTGATAACTTGCATGAAGAGCTTATCTGAGAATGGTTTAGAAAACTATGATTCACAGCTAAAGAATAATTCACAGCTAAAGAATAATGTAACATGCCCACTCTGGGGAAAAAAATAATCCATGAAGAGTGTCATTCTAAGGTAAAACATTCAGGCAGTGCTGAAGAGTGGGTTCTGTCCAGCCCCAAATCCCTGTCCCTGTGCTGTCACAGATGCAGGCACTGTCACTCTGGCATTTACAATGTCTCTCCCTTTCTAAATGCTCTTCACATAATTATGCAAGATATGCTAATTACCTCCTAATAAAAGGTATGATTACAATTCCAATTTGCCAGTTCTGATTTCTACAGAAAGCCCTGAAAAGATGTAGTCATAGAAACAAATGGCTGCTCAGCACTCCCAGTTTTACTGGAACCATGTTCTCCTCACCCTCTGCTGAAACTGAAGGAAAAACCTCACCCTTCCTTGGATGGTTTCCTGGGGAGTGAAAGGCTGGAAAGCCATGGAGCAGCATCACATCTAAAGCAGTTTCCATCCTCCTGAGGTTATTTTGGTGAATAACAGGTGTAGGAGGGAGGTTTGAACAGCTTGGTCTCATCTCCAGAGCATCATTTTTAGCAATTCAAAGTTGGTTCCTTGACAGAAGCTGTGTCCACTCCTCCTGCACAGCACTGACCCAATTGGTAATGTTACAGAATAAGAACTGGACTCTGGTCAATGCAGTCCTTAAGAGCTGCTGGGTATGGGCATTTGGTGGAACCAGAATTCAGCTTGGATTGGGCTCCTCAGCCAACTGCACTCTCTTAAGCCAAACCTTTGATTATTAATCAGCATAGCCTACAGTCATATTAAAAAAATAGGCTGAAACCTGGATCTAGATCTCTCTTTGCTCATTTAAGTCCATTTCTTTTTATTGAAAAATAGACAAGCAGTCAGTGAAGTGTTGCTGCCCAAATGGTGGAAAGCTGCTGTACTTTGTTTTTCACACCAGATTTTCTGTTGCAGGATTCCCCATTTTGTGCCGTGCAGTTTCACTCCTGATGCTCCAGATCAGCTAGAAATTGTGCTGTGCAATTCCAATCCTGATGCTCCAGAACAGCAAACTGCTGACCAAGTGAAGTCTTCAGTGGCTTCTGGACACAGCTCTGAGTTTTGAACCTTTAGGAAATGCATTTACCACGGAGGAGGCGGCTACGGAGGAACCGAATCCTTTTCTTGCTTGCCATAGTGTTCGTCCTTTCTTTCTGCCAGCTCCAGTTCAGACCCTCTGCCCTTCCAGCATCACACAGAGCCCCCCAACCCACGGACCCTGCCAAAGTGACCTCCAGGGACCTCCCCAGCAACAAGACTGCTGTAAGAGGCAATGCCACAGCACCCAAAATAAGGCACTGCATCTATGTGGATCCTGAGCCAGCCGTGCCCGTCACCACCTCAGTGGGTACAACACCACAGCAAGAAAATGCCAGTGAAAGCTCCCCAGATGAAAAACCACCCTATGAGTCCAAAGGAGAATATCCCCAGGATCTGTTCAGTGTGGAAGAACGCAGGCAAGGGTGGGTTGTTCTTCACATCTTTGGCATGATATATGTATTTGTGGCCTTGGCCATAGTGTGTGATGAGTATTTTGTCCCTGCTTTGGGAGTGATCACTGAGAAGTTGCAGATCTCTGAAGATGTGGCTGGAGCCACCTTCATGGCAGCAGGTGGATCAGCACCAGAACTCTTCACGTCCCTCATAGGTGTCTTCATCTCACACAGCAATGTCGGCATCGGTACCATTGTGGGCTCAGCAGTGTTTAATATCCTCTTTGTCATTGGCACCTGTGCCCTCTTCTCGAGGCAGATTCTCCACCTGACATGGTGGCCCTTATTTAGAGACATCACATTCTACATTGTAGACTTACTGATGCTCATCCTGTTTTTCCTAGACAGTGTCATTGATTGGTGGGAAAGCCTCCTTTTACTGACTGCCTATGCCACATACGTGTTCACCATGAAACAGAACGTGTTCCTGGAGCAATGGGTGAAGCAGGAGCTGAAAAAGAAGCTAAATGCTGTGCAGGCAGCATCAGCAGAGCATATGCAGAAGGTTGGTGTCCTTAGAGTTCAGAGGGCAAGTTGGAAATAACTTTTAGTGTAAACTACAAAGAAAAACTGCATCTCCTTCACAAAGCACATATTTGAACCTCAGAATACAGGTACTGGTCAGTAATTATGGTTTTAAAATGGGGAAAATTCAAACTAGAGAGATTCTAAGAAACTGGAGAACATCATAAAAAGTTCTCTCTGCTAGTCAGATGTGTCCCTGGCCCTCAAGCATGCTTTGCCTTCTGATCTTGGCACTCCATTTAAAGAAAGGAAGGAAGCAGATAAGGAGAGAGAATAGCTGAAGTGGTGCAGAATCGAGAAACTCCTTCTCTTTCCTACTCCTGGTTTGTTGTTCAGCCAGTGTTCAGCTAGGAGTCCTGAAAGCTCCTGGGTTACATTCCAGTGGGATACACGTGCAAGAAACTGCAGTGACACACACACATCACTGTAGACATCACCAAGCATCACAGATTGAATCCAGCCCTGCATTTGAAGTTTACAGAGAACTCTCACTAATGTTTAGTAGCATGACAGGGAGCTGCTGAACCTATCCCTTGGGAAAAATTAATCACAGATATTATGTAAAGTAATGCTAATTGCTGTAAAAAAAATCTGCCTTTGAACCTTCACTCACTCTGCTGGAAAATGAGTAAGGATACAGATGTTTGGGGATGAAATCTGGGTCTGTCTGTAGCTACAGGAATCAGTTGTGAGTCTGCCCCCAGGTGCTGCATCCTCACTGGGAGGCTTTAGGTAGAATCCTGTCTTCCTCAGAAGCCAGTGGGTTTAAGGAGGCTCATGGCTTTGGCTCTTTCAGTAGCATCCATGGATATTTGTGTCAGTTGTGCCACTTCCCCAGAGGCAGCAGCCTGAAGGATCGTTTGATCCTGAAGCAGCAGAGGTGATTGGTCATTTCTGTTCTTCATTGCTTGCAGACAAGCAGGGCAGTTGTAGATGATGGAACAATGAAGCCACCAGATGGGAGGAAGCTGAAGGTAGGTCTAAGCAACTTTACAGGGATCTGAAGTCATGGTGTTTTGAATCTCTCCCCATGTCAGGTCATAAATAAAAGTGTCAACTCCTGTGTCAAGAAACCTGGAGCAAAGCCTGTGTCATATCAGGCACAATAGCCAGAGTTTGCTTAAGAGGACACCTGGCTGAGTCCTGTCCTTTAAGGCATTTTTATAAAATTTAAGAAACAGCTCAGACTTCCCAGGTGGATTTAACTAGAAGAGTGCTGTTCATTCTCTGCTATAAAACAGTCACATAGAAATTCAGACAGTGACTCTTCTTACCTGGTCTCATGCCTCAATTTCTTCCTGGGCTGTCATAGCAGTGGCTGGCGGGGTCTGTCCTTTCCCATAGCAAACACTGAACACTGATTCCTCTGTTGAATTGCTGCCCCATGGCCTGGAGAGGCCTTGTCTGATGTAGAGGACAAAGAGGCTGGGACTGAGTGCTTTTGTGCCTTCCCACAGCCTGGGCCAGCCCTGCAGCGGGGCAGCAGCTCGGCCTCCCTGCACAACTCCCAGATGCGCGGCACCATCGTCCAGCTCATGATCCACACCCTGGACCCCCTGGCAGAAGGTGAGTGGCTGCTCCACACCAGAGGGCTTTGGGTTCACAGCCCTGAGTGGTTTCACTGGGAATACAATCAGTATTTTGGGGTCAGCAACTCACCCTTGGGGTGCATCACAGATGGTGTCAGGTGTGGGGAGCTCTGTGACAGTGGGATGTGTCCCTTCTGATGGCGTGGTTGGCAAGGACAAACACCTCATGTTTTGGTCCTGCCATATCTACTTTTTCTGTGCCAAACTGGTTACTGGAAGTGGTGACATTCCCCATCTCTGCTGTTTCTCTGACTGCTGTGGCAGTTAATGTGAGTTACAGACTTCCTCTTTCCCATAGCACATCACGTCTTCTTCTTCTTAGCTCAGACCTCATCCCAGCCCTGAAACAGCAGCACAAAAAGAGGTTAAAACCTTGAAGAATTCTCTTTTTGACTCTCTCAGTGGTTAAAATCCCAGCTGAGATTCTAATCATAATGGTGAGGCCAATTCTGTGTGATTCAGGCTGACACCTCTAAAAGCCCACCAATCATCACTGCCATGGCAAAGTGTGCCCACAGCTCTGGCTCCCCAGGGCCAGGGAATGACCAGCTCAGGTCCAAGACCTCTTTTAAACTGCCCAGGGTGCAGAGAAGCCTCATCTCCAGACAGACCGGGGTGTTTGTACACAGCCTTTAAATGTGTTGCTTTATATTAACTTTAATCCAGTCGCACTGTGGAGGTTTATTTTCAAAGAAATAGTGAATCACATTAAAAAAAAAAAAGTTTTTAAGATTTTCCTTCCTTGCTCAGCACATGCCCCACCCCTCCACTGCCCTACTTGTTCTAAAGAGATTATCTGCTGCCCATTCAAAGAGAGATTGAAGCTAAGCAGATCAACACCTCTCGTGTCCCTCACAGAGGTTACAAAGAGGACTCTCCAGATCAGAATCCCAGCTGCACAAACTGATCGAGGGAACAAAGGAGGCTGGAGGAGGACAGCAAGGCAGATCAGTGTCTGCTTTGACAGATTCCAGTGTTATCAACAGTAGCCTAACAAAAGCCAGACTCATCAGGGTTTGTCCTTACCTCCTGTGCCTCTGAAAGGTTGTATGAACAGTACCAGGATAGACCCTAAACCTTCCAAGAGGATGTGTCATTGCCTTGAGCATCAGAAAGTGCCAGATTTGAGGGGCTGCTGTCACTCAGAGACCTTCCAGCACCTTCTCATCCTTCCACACCCCTAAATGTGTCTGTGCAGTATCTGCCCACCCGGGCCACCCCAAGTTTGGCTTTCTGGTCCAGGCTGGTGCCCTGGTGAAACTCTGGGACCCCTCAGCAGGAGAACTGTGGGGGCTGAGGTTGGCAGCCAAGGCCAAGGAGAGCCCCAGCCAGTTCAGCCCAGAATGGGCTGCTGGGAGCTTTCCACTGTCCTTGCTGAGGAGGCTGCTGTTCCCAGGCCTTGTGAATATGGAATAAACAGGACTGGGGCACCAGTTTGGATCTCTCAAAAAGAACTTCCCTACTCATTACATAGAATCACAGAATCATTAGGTTGAAAAAGACCTTTAAGATCATCAAGTCCGACTGTTCCGGCAGGATGAGAGCTCCTGTGTGTGTGCGGCAGCCACTAGATGGGAGTGTGACCGTGTGTATCTGCGTCTGAAACCGCAGGGACCGTGCGGGGATGGGCTGCAACAGCCTCTCCAGAAGGGTTTCACATCCCAGAGTCTTTATTTAATAACGCCACTGAGTTAATGGCGAAACCTCTGCCCCAGGTACATGCCTGCTCCACTCAAGGCTGTGAGAAGAGACACCAACTATACAAAATATAATAAAATTACTGATATTCAACAGCTCAGCACTCAAAAATCAAGGAGCCAATGTGTCAAATCCTGTGTGTCTTGTAGGAGATACTCCTTAATCTGATAGCTTCCTACCTAAAGAAAAGAGAGTTTCGAGAAAAGGAGTTTATGCATAGACTGGGAACCTAAGTGCCTTGAGAGCTTGGCCAAAGAGATGGAATGACATCCTAAGGAAGGATCTGGAAAAGGATTTGAACCTGCCAAAGCATATGAGGACTTATGTTCTGATATGTTAATAGTTCCTAGTCCTGTGTTAACAGCCCTGCAGCCCTGTGGGACCCTGGGGCCTGCTGTGCCTGCTTCCCATGGATCACCAGCACTGTCCCTCCCTTTGCTGTGTGTGCAGCACTCTCTGTACCAGGCACATTTCTGTAATTAGGCTGCCACATAAAAGATGGTCCCAAAGCAATTTATCTTTCCTCAAGGGCCCTTGTTCCTTCTTGCCAAGGCCTGTAGCATCAGCACCTACAGGCTGTGGAAATGAACACTCGACAGAAGGAAAAGGTTGCCAACAGTTGCTCAGCAGTTCCTCACTGAACCTGCTGCAAGCAGGATTCTGTAGGGTTTCCTTCTTTTGGCTGCCCTCGCTTTTTATTTGGGCAGCACAGAAGTGGTTTCAGGGCAGCAAGGTCCAAAACATAGAAAAGCTGCCAGCACTGGGCCTCCAAACCCAGCTTTCAGGGGCAGAGGTCTTCGAAATGCAGAAGTGTGAAATGCAAAGCTGTAACACCACTTGTGCGAAACAAAATTTCTCTTTTGAAGAGGGGGTTGAGTTCAGAATGTGGGGTTATTGCTTTTTGTATTAGGAAGGTATCATTACTTAAGTCTTTGTCTCAGAGAGACTACGTGTTTACTTTAGAAGTTCTAATACTTACATGGCATCCTGAAGTATATTTTTGATAGAACTTCTTACCTTCAATGTGCCTTTTTTAAATTAGCAATTTCTAGCAAGTTTGTTCTTTTGTCCTTTTCCCCACTTCCTGTGAAAATGAGTAGAAGAAGAGAGTGAGATCTTTTCCAGATCATCCCATTAGACACCAAGGGAAACTGTTGGGGAAGTAAAGGGAGTGAGGATTTTGAAAATGCACAGGAACCCTCTCATTTCTGAACCTCCAGCCTTACCACCAGACTCTTTAAATTCTAGTCTCACAGGGAACAAAGCAGAAGCCTACATTTCTTTTTGAATGAAGCAAAAGGCTCCAGCAGAGAGGTTGTCAGAGCTGCCTGCCCTCACTATGCCCCAGTTAACAAGGTAATGATTTTGGAAATTAGACCTGGGCAGTGGGCACTGTTGCAGGCTGGAGAAGGCTGAAGGCAGCTACAGCTTCTCCTTGCTTCATTAGCATTCCAGATCCAGAGGGGAAAAAGGAATCACAAGACTTTTTTTATACTTCTACTTTTATACAGCAGAATCTCCAAATCCTTCAGGTTCTTGCCAAATTGTAAAGAAGAAATCCTCCCTGCTGATTGTGTTGTCAATCCTGTTAGATTGAATATTAGAGCCAAAGAGTGAATTAAATATAAGAGCCAAATTCAAGGTAGAAGCTCAGCTGCCACCTGAAGTCCATCCTGGATGCTGTCAATTCATAGGAAAAGAATTCTCCTGGAGAGCATCTCAGGGCCACTGGACACAGACATGTCCTGTGTGATGGGCTCTGAGCCCTGGGGACAGAGCTGCCAGCAGTGAATGCCCCAGGGGACTGAGAGGGACACTGCCCTGCACAGCACAGCCCCCACTGAGCCCATGGACATCCTTCCTCCCCGTGCTGACTGCAGATCTGGCCAGCTTAGAGCCAGCTCTGCTTCCAATCTCAGTCCCTCCTGCAGGAATTGTGTGTGAGAGGAATTAACACGCTTTTAAAGGAGGCTGATCTCCTGAGAGCTGGACAGGGGCCTGGGCCTAATCTGTTTATCCTGACAGAGATGCTCCAGGCTCCACCCGGCACTCCCAGCCTGGAGCCTGGCTGAGGGCAGCGAGCCAGGAGCTTGAATTTCCATAATCTCAGGCTGAGCCTGACCGCCCTGACCCTGCTGACAGGAGCTTTTGCAGCAGCCTCAGGGAAAAGCCAAACAGAAGGATGCATTGCCCAGTGCTGAGAGGAGGAGCAAAAGGTCATTCCTGCATTGAAGGATGTGCTCGTGCACAGGGGGAAGGAAGCCAACATTTCACATCCCCTCCAGTGATCTTCAGTATTGACAAGGAGCATGGAAGAGTCAGGCTCTTGAGTCCCAGCCAGCCTTTCAAAGGAGAAGAAATGAACATTTAGATTAGAAATTCTCACCTGCAATGGTGATGAGCCCTGGAACACAGTGCCCAGAGAAGTTGTGACTGCCCCTGGATCCCTGGAAATGTCCAAGGCCAGGATGGATGGGGCTTGGAGCAGCCTGGGATAGTGGAGGGTGTCCCTGCCCATGGCAGAGGGGAAGGACTGGATGGCCTTTAAGATCCCTTCCAGCCCAAACCATTCTGGTACTCCATGATGGTTTCATCTCAGTCCAGCCATTCCAGTGCTCAGTGGAAATCCCAGCTGGTGAAAGATGTTTCTGACAGTAGCAAGAGTAGGATTTGTCCCCTGAGGTCTTCCTGTCTGAGCTGGGCCCAGTTGTTGGACATACAGCAGCATTTACTGCTTTTCACAAGGTTCATCTCAGAACAATAGGTCTTCCCCCATGGCTGGACATGCTATTTCTATTATCTCAGTGTCACTGTGATTAATAAAATGGCAGGGCCCTGCCCTTGAGGCAATATGACAACTGCACCTTCTGGGTGCATAGTCAACAACACAGTAGATTAAATCAGTGTGATAAAACTTTCACAGAAAATGATTTTACAGTTCTGCATGCAAGCCAAACACAGCATTGGCCAATTCTGGCTACTTCCCATGTGCAAACCCAGTGACTCTCAGTCATTGGGTGTGCAGCTCAACAGAGGACATAGATTAGAGCAAAATGGGGCTTTTCTTTGAGCTCATTCTCATTAACTTTCACTGAGTCAGCAGTAAGATATTTGAGTAAAAAACAACTGTAGATACACAGAGTTCCACAGTTCACTGTAAACCAGTAAAAAAGCAGCTCAACTGAGTAAGGCAGAGCTTGGTTCACAATGGAAGAAGCTCTCAGCAGTCCCAGAAATAGAGCACCAGACATGTGCTGGTGAAAAACACCATCTCTCAGACAGCCTGAACCATGCTGAACCTGGATACCAGGAATTTAGAACAGCTCCAGCAGGAGACACTTGTGTATACTTAGAAAAATCAATCATTTTCCAGGGAACTGGAACATAAAAGGTGTTTATTTTCCATTCCCATCAGGTCCCCAGGCTGTAAGCAGCACCCTAAAGCCTCTTCAACAGCCACACGGCAGGAGAAAAGTGTCATTTTTAGTTTGCTCATGATCTAGCCTAGAAAAAAAATCAATAGTCCATTGCGAACAAGATGATATCGCACTGAAACTCCCCCTCTGTTCTTTTTGCATTTTCTCCCTATAAAGTACAGATATCCTTTGTATTACTGACCTGAAAAGGATTTCTTGTTCCTCTATATGCCTTGAGAGGCTAGCTAGAACAGAGGCTAGGCAGTGTTACAGGAATAAAGTAGGGATTTATTGAAAGGCCTCAAAGGATACACCTGGGCAGTACAAGAGCCTGGCTTGGGGCTGCACAAGATGGGGCTGCAGCAGGTCACACATGTTCACACTTGTATAAGGTTTGGTCCATTCCCATATTGGGGTTAATTATCCAATTACAGCTCCAGGTTATGCAGTCACATCCTCCCAGGCTGCTCTCCTCAATTTGCTGTTGTTTGCACTTTTTGCACCTGAAGCTGCAGTGGTGTCCTTGGTTCTGGAGCTAGAAAAGGATTGTTTTGTCTGACTGAACTGTGAGGAGAGCTTGCTAACACTCTCTGTGAGCTTCAGAGTTACACACTAATGCAGTACAGAATCTGGAAAATATAAAAGCTAAAACTTTAAGCATCACTCTAGATTCTTTTTAAATAGTTCTATGTCAAATTGCTGGTGTAACTGCTGTAGCACTAAGCAGTTAAATACAACAGCTATGACCAACTAGCAGCAGCCAAAACCTGGGCCCTCAGCTAGAACAACCCCTGGGGCAGCACCTGCAGGAGGAAGGGGCAAGAGCAGGTATGTGTTGAGGGAGGCAGGTCCAGGGGAGTTTTGCAGTGACAGCCCCTGATGATTGTGTCCTTCTCACCCACAGCAAAATTTAAAGACAGGGTTGACATCCTGAGCAACATGGCCAAGGCCAAGGCTGAGACCCTGGAAGGACAAGGCTCCCAGCCAGGTGAGTGCAGGAAGAGCCAGCACTGCTTGCCTTGTTTTGCACTCACCTTCCCAGCACGCAAAGCCCAAGGGCAGGCAAGGAAACCCTGGGGTGTAACACAGATTTTGTGCTGTTTCTGGGCACAGATGGCTGCTGGAACAATGCAGCAGGAATCGATCGATGGCAGGAGAAGCATACCCAGAGGAGCTGTTAGTGAGGCAGGGCAGGGAGAGCTGCAAGGAGGGACTGGAAATGGCCATGGAACAGTGCAGGAGGGAAATCAGGGCACTGCAGACAGCACTTGGGTGCTGCTGGTCTTTGGCACACCCTGCAAATGAGGTGTTTGTTAAAAGAAAGTACCTTTACATGCTTGCAGAACGGCACAGAAGGTTCCTCCAGAGGGAATAATCTACACTGTGTCTGTATCAACTCCAAGGACCTGTGCACCCTTCCTTTAATAGAATCGGAATCATATAATGGTTTAGGTTGGAAGGAACCTTAGAGACCATCCCATTCCACCCCCTGCCATGGCCAGGGACACCTTCCACCATCCCAGGGTGCTCCAAGCCCTGTCCAGCCTGGCCTTGGACACTTCCAGGAATGGAGCAGCCACAGCTTCTCTGGGCAACCTGTGCTGGGTCCTGCCCACCCTCACAGGGAAGCATCTCTGATCTAACATTTAACCTGGATCTGCCCTCTGTCAGTCACTCCTGACACAAAGGCTGCCTTGGAGCCAGAGCTGACCTGTGCTACAACACAGATCTGTGCTGCCAGCAAGGCTGAAGATTTTGAACACCGAGAAACTTTGGTGTGGAAGGACCCAGGCACCTGAGCACCTCCCAGTGCTGGACCTCATGGAGGGGAATGAGCACAGACTTCAGAAAAACACTGTTTAGAACCCAAGTAAATTCTTGGTGTGTGCCACACTGCCTTCACTCCCTCATCCCAGCTCCGTGTTATCCATATTTCTGCTCTGTCCCCACAGAGGTTTCTGTGCTCCTCTTGGCTATGCAGGTTAATGCAGGAACAGCAGGACATTGCAGTTATTTCCTTGTATGTGTCAGCACTTTCCTATTTGCTTTTGAATACCCACCAAACGATCAGGGATTAAAGTCTGGCAGCACATCCTGGTCATTTCTCAGAAGCCTTGAAGAGTATCAGGTCCCTGGAGAATGCTGTGCTCTATGGAGGGAGGGGGAGCTGGGGGAGAAACCTGAGAAGCAAAGCTTTACATCCTTTCTGGGGTTTAAGGATGGTTTTAATACAATCTTCAGAATCTAAAAAGAAACCAAGAAATGCCCATCAGCTGCAGATGAGGTAATTAGCATTTCCCCACCCCTTACAGCAGTTTTGCACGGAAGGTCAGAGAAGCACCAAGGTCTCATTCTACTCCACGTGGGCCAAATTCTGCCCAGATTTACCAAACACAATCACAGCAGTCAGGGAGGACACACAACAAACCAAAGCAATCTGAGGGTATTTGACCTGAAATGCCACCACTGTGGCAGGGAGCTCACAGGGAAGGTGGTGCCCTGGTATGGTGGCCACACATCCAGGATGACTGAAACCAGCACTCTTCTTATTGCTTTTGCAGAAGAGGGAAAGAAAGCACCAAGCAGCGTCCAGGTAACTCCTGCCAGTGACTCTGAGCCCAGCAAAGACACACAGAAGGAAGATGTGCCACAGGATGGACAGGTATCAAAATCAGGAGCACAGGCACTAAGTGCCCACCCAGGCTGACCTTCACGTGTACTTTCCTTGTTCCCTCTCCAGAGCTGTTGGGACAGACCCAACCCATGGCACTGGCATCTATAAATAGGCTCTGTGTGTGGTAATCTAAGATGCTGGCTGAAACACTTTGGCTTACAAACACAAATTGGGTCCAAATTACGACACAAAGTGACACTGGATAGTATTGTCCCCTCAAGTGACTCTTCTGAGGGTACTCCAGGGTAAGGGGAGGAGATAAGATCACCTGCCTGTCCTGTGCTCACCAGCAGACTGTTCTGTTTTGCTTCCCAAACCCCTTTTGGGTGATGTTATTTGGCAGTTCCAATGAAATAAAGTTTTTTTCAAGGATATAAAATATTTGTTTCTAAAGGGTGGTTCTAGTTAATGGATGCCCATTAGTTAACAATACACAGGTGCAGGTTGGGGTGTGCCTGGGTCCTGTCCCACAAGAGCTGTGGCTGCCCTCAGCAGGTGACAAATGTGAGCTCTGCTCAGGTGAGGCCACAGCAAGTAACTGCAGCTCCTTGTTAGTGTGAAAATATATTGGCTTTTTGATTTTTTGTTCTGAGGTACAGCCCCTGTCAAGCAGTGACACCTCAGATGACAGCAGCTCTGAGAGCCAGGAGGACAGTGATGCTGACAGCACAGAGAGTGATGAAAACGATGAGCCCTTATCTCTGGAATGGCCAGAATCAAGGACAAAACAAGCAATTTACCTTTTCCTCTTTCCCATTGTCTTTCCTCTCTGGAGCACTCTGCCTGATGTCAGAAACTCGGTAAGAATCCACCTTCCTTCTGCTCCTGGAGTCATTAACTGAGCTATAGATTTCCTCTGGGCCAGAGTCCCTGGGTCCATTTTTCCATGTCTGGAGTCCTTGCATAGTTGAAGGGCTGTAACTGCAGGGAGTGGGACAGGAGCCCCAGCTGCAGTGTAATGTCATTTCAGAGACTTAATTTAATAAACCACAAATTCTAGCAACTACAGGTCACTTAATCAAGCTGAAAAACAGCAAACAGAGACCAGGGTGCAAGTTAAAGCAATCAATTGCAGTGAAGTGTTTCAGGTGAATAGTTTTCAATGGGGATTATTAACGTCCCTGAAACTTCTCTGTTTTCTTTTCAAACTTGATTTCAACAGGAATCAAAAAAATTCTTTGTCATCACATTTTTTGGATCCATCCTCTGGATTGCTGCGTTCTCTTATCTCATGGTGTGGTGGGCTCACCAGGTGAGAGGTTTTGTTCTTTCTGCAAGCCTCCATTTCAGAATGAGTAGATGGAGAGAGGGGACAGTGTTACTGTGGCACTTTATCTGATGAATTACAGCTGCAGTCATCCATCATAACAGTAGAAACTTTGTTTTGTTAGAGCCCAAAAGGGAATTTTTGATGTCCTTTTTTTGATTTGACAAAGATTCATTCATTTCTGAAAGCTTCCAAGGGAGTTAGTGCATCAGTGAAAGGAAAAGCACCATCAAGATTTATCTCAAATCTGACTTTATATTAATGAATGATTCTGTGCAGAACATAATTATCCATTACCTAATTAAAATTCTAGGAAAATACAGGTTCTGATTCTGGAAGCTGCTAAATGTTCTTCACTCCCCCATCCTACTGTTCACCTGGTATTCTGGGAAATAATACTTCCATCTTGTAGGAACAGCCCCCCAGTCTGTACTGAGTGATGTATTGCACATGCACAGTAGATCTGATCATGCCATAAATCCAAGGACTGTCATCTCCAAAGGCCCTAGATCTTGCACAGCTGATGTTAAATTTGCAAAGGTAGACAACATCCAGAAGAGGAGGACTGAGGACAGGAAAATTGTGCTGTAGCTGACTTGACCTTGGCTCAGTGCTGGCATCACTGTGGTCAGACTTCCTACACTACAGAGCAATTTCCTACACTACAGACACAGTAAAATGGACCTTTTTAATCCTATAAAGCAGGAAAATGCTGCCACATTTATGGGAGTCGGACTATTTTAACTCAAACATGGCACAAACCCTAACACTGCACAGAGCAATTACACTCCCTGTTCCACTGCTAACAGCCCTACCCAACGTTGTGTTGATTAGGTTGGTGAAACAATTGGGATATCAGAGGAAATCATGGGGTTAACCATCCTGGCAGCAGGCACATCCATCCCTGACCTCATCACCAGTGTCATCGTGGCCCGGAAGGGCTTGGGGGACATGGCTGTGTCCAGCTCTGTGGGCAGCAACATCTTTGACATCACTGTTGGGTGAGTACCAGGGCCATGCTAAGACCTGCATTTCTTCTGAAACACAAAGTTACCTGGTTTGAAACCAAACCTGGCTCAGCTAATTTCATTTTAGCTGCAGTTAAGTGAAAGGCAGCTGAGCAACCAGTTCCTTTTGAAGGAACCCAACCCAAATCCAAACCCAGCCAGGAAAGACAAACTGTTATAACTCAGCCCACTATCTTCACCCAATTCACAAAATTACCAAATTTTCAAGACAAAAATGCAAGAAATCTTGGGCTAATGTCCAAGCTACACAGGCAGGAGCCTTACCTGGTCACTCAGACATTCAGCTCCTTGGGAAGGTCAGTATCAGTGCCTGGATCTCCCATCCTGAACCATCAGGACATTTCTTTATTATAGCTCATCAAGGCACTTAATTCTTAGGTATTATTTTCAAACCATTTTACCCTTGGATTGCATTATGATAGTGCAAGCATTATCCAAATGTAGTTTTGACAGGAAAAACATCCAGTTTAGATTTATGCTGAGCTATATTGAATACAATAATGCATTTTTTTCCCTGTAACACTTTGGAAAAATTGCTTAGTTATGATGCAGATAATGAACTGCCTTAAAACATTTATTTCAATTACTTTTCCCTTCCTTGCAGCCTGCCAGTTCCCTGGTTCCTTTTTTCTATCTTCAATGGCCTCAGCCCTGTGGCAGTCAGCAGCAATGGTTTGTTTTGTGCAATTGTTCTCCTTTTCCTCATGCTCCTGTTTGTGATTCTCTCTATTGCTGTCTGTAAATGGAAAATGAACAAATTACTGGGGCTCACCATGTTTGCTCTCTACTTTGTGTTTCTGATCATCAGTGTGATGTTAGAGGACAAGATAATATCCTGCCCAGTATCTGTATGACACTTCAAGATGTCTGGGAAGATCCAGCAACATCAAAAGGGGGTTGAGGTAGCAGTTGTTCTACTGAAAATGCAACAGAATTGTAACAAACTTACTGAAAATAAGATACCTTTACCATGCTAAAAAATAAATCAATCTTAACTGGTGTGTCAGCCTCTACTGTTTTTCTTTAGGATCAGAACAGTATTAAATGATCAATATTAAATAACACACACTTAGGCACTTGTGGAAAGGCTGATACAATCTAGGTGCATCAAATTTTCACTATGGCTGATCCTCTCAAGTTAAAGGAGCTGATTTTCACCACAGTGTGGACACTTCAAGATGTCTGGGAGAATCCAGCAACATCTAAAGGGGGGTGAGGTAGCAGTTGTTCTACTGAAAAAAGCGACAGAATTGTAACAAACTTACTGAAAATAAGATACCTTTACCATGCTAAAAAATAAATCAATCTTAACTGGTGTGTCAGCCTCTACTGTTTTTCTTTAGGATCAGAACATATTAAATGACCAATATTAAATAACACACACTTAGGCACTTGTGGAAAGGCTGATACAATCTAGGTGCATCAAATTTTCACTATGGCTGATCCTCTCAAGTTAAAGGAGCTGATTTTCACCACAGTATTTACTCATTATAGGAAATTTTCAGGAACATGCTCTAAATTAGTCAGTGAACTGCTCAAACTCCCCAAAGTCAATGAATTTTAGTTCAGTGGGAAGAGAATGAGACTGCTGTGGCTGGGCCTCTATGGAACTGTTCTGCCTAAAATCCCTGTGTGGACACACAGGCTGCAGCCCAGCAGAGAACTCCCTCAAACTGCACTGAGCTCCTTTCAGATCTGTACCTGATCTTGCAATGCAGTGCCTGAAACTCCTGTGAAGTGCCACCAGGACAAGTGTGATGTCACCTGGGTTTACACCTTGCTGCAAAAAGACTAAAAGGCTCAGAGGTTAGAACAGCACATTACCCCTAATCACAACTAAAGCCAGGAATCAAATACAACAAGGAGTTGAATGCTGGGGGTTTGTTTTCATCCTGACACGAATCTCTGACAGTTACAGATTATTTATCCAGGAATAATTCCTCTTGTTAACACTGACTTCTACAGAGACAAGATGAAAACATGCCACTGACATCACCAGACCTGAGAGGTTTATTGTTAACACCTCATGGTTAACTTTTAACACAATGGGGTTAGGAGTTGCAGACATTTCTGTCACTCTAATCAATGTAATAAAATGTTAATGAAAATAACCAGAAAGATTTTAAGCTTTTTATTGACTCACTGTAAAACTTCTTTTTTTTGGATGAGACAGAAAAAAACCTTAACATTGTGAACATTGACTTTGCATATTTTAAAGGAACTACAAACCAAAGCAAACATCCAACATACTGGTTTTTGGTAAATAAAATTTAAACATTACATATTTACAAATCTACAACCATTCGTTTAAAAAGTGCTGCTTGCAGACTAACAAAGTACCATTTTTAAATCCCAGTGAGATAATATCCAGAAATACCCCTCTCTATTATTACTATTTGCATCTCCCATTTGTTACACTAAGATTTTACATGCAGGAATTTTCTCTTTCTTGGGATACAAATCATTTAATTTGCCTGTGGAAGTCAAATTCATCAGGCTGTAACTGTACCAACAGCAAGCCTTCTCAAATGGGACACAGCAGTGTCAGAGAAACAGCACAATTTCTATTCACATTTCAGTATTTAATCTCCAATAATTATTCCAGTGGAACCATAAGTAAAGCAAAATATATATTGCACTGCAAATGTAAAACCTTGGTTTCAGGTTTTGGACATAAGCCTTATTTAGTACACAAAAGGAGAAAATTCAGTTCATACAAAATTTTAAATTGAAAATATGTCTCAAATATTTTATTTATTCATCTTTGTGGTATTGGAAAATATAGTCAAATTGCTTTTCTAATAAAGGAAAGTGAGATTTGAAAACTGTTTCAACACTGAATTGTATGATGCTCTAAAAATTATCGACCTCAGGATACATTTGGAACATTGTTATGTGAATGAGGAAAACTTCCCACTTATTACTGTATGTTCTTATTCCAACTCTATTTTTA